AACTGCTGAAACTATTCCTGCAGCCGCATGTCCCTCAAGCTCCATTGCTGGAGACTGCCAACCATCCTGCGTTGTGGCTGAGAAGTGTTTGTCTGCTCCTGAACATTAGTTAAGATTTATTTCATGCCATCATACAAGTTGAAGATAGCAATAGTTTTTGGGGGAGGCTGCAGCCAGGCTTTCCTAGTCCTGTGATGGCATCCTTGTGTGCATTCGGGGATGGCGACTGCTCTTGGACAAAGCCATCTCTGTCTGTTGTTGCATTTGAGTCAATGTTTAAGAGAATTTCATGAGCCAAAACAGGCAGGACTGGCAATGCAGTAAGGTATGTTGTCAAGACTGGATAGACAAAATACTTTAAGCTGAGGCTCTCCTATGTATGTACCTTCACCAGGAAGTTTGGGGCTTTTTCTGTGTTCTTTGTACCACCCGAGAAGTGGGAAAAGCGATGCCTCTAACTGTAGGATTAGAAGTAGGGTGGTTAGAAGTAGGAAAAGGAGTTCAGGTTCTATGTTTGAAGATAAATGGGATATTTTTTTTTCTGTGTTAGTTCTTGAAAATATGAAGTGTTGTGTAAATGTTGAAATTTGGTAGAATAACAGAAGAGGTAGAATCTCCTCTGGGTCTGGAGGATATCAGTATGCTGTGCAACTTGCAGAGATCTCATCGGGAGTCCTTTTCTGTAGACACTAGTGGAAACAGAAGAAAAGTAATTCTAAAGCATCAAAGGAAATTAAAATTACCAAAAAAATTCAGATGGGGAAACGTGTACATAATCATATCAAGAGAAAAATAACTTGAGATACAGATACTCCGTGGGATGATGAAGCCTGGACAAGCGTAATGGTGATAGATCTGCAGATAACCTGAGACATTAAATTAAGGATACATTTATAATAAAAGATAGGATTTTTGCATGTAAGGAAAGAAAGGGGGGGGGGGGGAGGGGAGAGGAGGGAAGTGACAATAGTATTAAAAACATTTCATTCTGCACCAAAAATCCCTTATTTGAAAATCTTAGGAAGGTCAGAGAGAAGTAATAAATAAAGTTACCAGGATATTTTGGTGGTATGATTAAGCTCAAAATAAATATGTATTATCAAAACACCACAAGCAACAGAAGAGAGAGCGAGCATTTTTTGTCCTTCAAACATTTGTAGATAATTGAAGAAGGGAGAGAAAATATTTTAAAAGTTGAAATGTGTTTAAACTGGAAGGAACAGTATTAACTGAAGGGTAAAAACATTGAAAATAAGATTATATAAGGTTTATGGGCTGGCATTTTAAGTAGTCTAAGAGTGAGATTAAACAAAATGCTGGAGCGTGTCCTTTGGGGAGCAGCCCTGCACTGTTGAGAGGACAGCAGAATAGGTTTTGTTTGTGGCTAATTAGCATTCTCTTCCTCCTATCTGGGGTACTACTGGCTTGTAAATCTGGCTGGTTCTAAGAAAATTGAAAATAGTTTCTGCTACTGCATCTTTCCTACCAATTTTTGAAATGGAAAAAAAAAGACATCAGTTTCATATTTAGCTCTTATTTTAAACACAAGAAAGGGGGAGACAATGTGGGCTACGGGGAAGCACACAGAGTGTTTGCTACAATTAAATAAGAAGGCAGTGTGCAGGCAGAGTGGAGCTGTTGTGACAGGGGACAAATAGCCCGAGTAGGTGAGCGATGGGGCAGCAGACACCTGGTTTGCAGTGGGATGGCCATCGCTCAGCCTCTCCTCCCTCCCCTTGGTAAAACTCCCCCTGTGGATCCTGGTGATGGGTTAGGTTGAGTCACAACCTCCCTGCTTCCGAGCTGAGAATGGCAAAGTGTGTGAGCAGAAGTGGAAGGCTGGTGGAGCTGCATGCCTTTTTGCAGGGGGGTGAAAAAAAACCCACCACCCTGTCCTGCTTTCAGAAAAATGTGCTCGGTGTGTGACAAACCTCCGCAGAGCTGCTAACCCGCCATGCAGGGCTGCAACGGCTCGGGGGAGTGCGTGAAAGAACCGAGCACTGGCCGTTGCTGGCACACTTGCCTGATTTTTTTTTTTTTTTATTTTTTTTTTTTTTTCAGTATAAGGTTCTGAGGTTTTT